TTCCAGTTCCAGGAAGTCCACGGATCGGCACTGGGCCACGGACTGGGGGTTGACAACCCCTGTTCTGACCAACAGAGATTATTTGGTGGGGGAAGTGGCAGTAATGGGAACTCTAGGTAAGAGTGACATTGTCCTTCTAGAATTCTTGATTTCAAAGGAAACAAAAGCAGAGTGTAGCCATACACTTCCACTGGATTTTTAAAAAAGCCAATTTTAATAATCTCAGAACAAGGATAAGTAAGGTCCCATGGCAGGAGATCCTAACAAGAAACGGAATCCAAGAAGGGTGGGAGCTTCTTTAAAAAAAAGAAATTCTAAAATCACAACTACAAACAATTCCAACAAGAAAAAAAGGGAGGCAGCAAAAAAGGCCAGTGTGGCTTCACAAAAAGCTCAGGGAGGGCCTAAAAACCCAAAAGAGACATGTACAGGAAGTGGAAAGGAGGCCAGGCCACCAAGGATGAGTACAGATAAGCAGGAAAGAAATGCAGGGATGGCATCAGGAGGGCAAAAGCTGAGAATGAGCTGAGGTTAGCTAGAGACACTAAAAGCAAAAAAGGAGAGCATTCTTCAAGTATGTGAGTAGCAAAAGACAAACAAAAGACATAGTGGTTCAGCTCTGCAATGGAGATTGAAAAATGATAACAGATAAGAAAGAAAAGGTAGATGTGCTCAATTCCTATTTTAGTTCCATCTTTTCCCATAAAACAGACTATGAACTTCGAAAGAAATTGGAAGTGCAAGTGGTGTGTGTGTGTGTCACGATTGCAGCTGGAGATTGATAAACAGTCAAATAATGCCTTACCACCTTGAATGAGTTCAAATCTCCAGGGCCCGATGAACTGCATCCGAGAGTACTGAATGAACTGGTTGATGAATTCTCAGAACTGCTATTCATTGTTTTCTTGAAATTGTGGGAAATGGGTGAGGTGCCAGAGGATTGGAGAACGGCTAATGTTGTCAAATAGGGTAAAAAAGAGGAACCTGGGTACTACAGGCCAGTCAGCCTGACATCAATCCCAGGCAAAATTCTGGAACAGATCGTAAAGTGGTCATTGTGCAAGCACCTAGAAAAAAAATGCAGTAATAACTAGAAGCGAACATGGATTTGTCAAAAAAATCCCTGCCAAACTAATTTGATCTCTTTTTTTGATCGGATCACCTCCCTGATAGACAGAGGGAATACTGTAGACATAGTATATCTCAACTTCAGCAAAACTTTTGACAAAGTGCTCCATGATATCCTGATTAGCAAGCTAACTAGGTGTGAGCTGGATAGATAAGTGTCAGGTGGATACACAATTAGCTACAGAATCATACTCAGAGGGTGATCATTAATGGGTCCTTCTCTAACTGGGAGGAGGTAACAAGTAGGTTGCCCCAAGGCTCAGTCCTGGGTCCGGTGCTTTTTAATATTTTTATTGATGACTTGGATGAGGGAGTGCAGGGAATGCTTGTCAGATTTGCAGATGATACAACATTGGCCTTAATACTGTAGCTAATACTCTAGAAGATAGAAACAAAATTCAAAATGATCTTGATAGGATGGAGCACTGAGCCAAAAACAACAGAATGAAATTCCACAGGGATAAGTGCAAAGTCCTGCATCCTGGAAAAAGAAACCAACTGCACAGTTACAAGATGGGGGGATACCTGGCTCAGAAAAACTAAGAGCGAGAAGGATCTTGGAATCGTTGTAGATGACAAGCTATGTAAATATGAGCCAACAGTGTGATGTGGCTACAAAAAAGGCAAATGCTATTTTAGGCTGCATTAATAGAAGTATGGTTTCCAAATCTCATGAAGTGCTAGTTCCCCTCTATTTAGCACTGGTTAGACCTCACCTTGAGCATTGTGTTCGGTTCTGGACACCACGCTTCAAAAAGGATGCTAACAAATTGGAACAAGTTCAGAGGAGGGTGACAAGGATGATCAGGGGGCAGAAAACAAAGCCTTAAGAGGAAAGGCTGAAGAAGTGGGCATGTTTAGCCTTGAGAAAGGAAGACTGAGGGGTGATATGACAGCACTTTTCAAATATTTGAAGGCTGTCATACAGAGGAGGGACAGAATCTGTTCTTGATCACTCCAGAGTGCAGGACACAGAACAATGGGCTCAAGTTTAAGGAAGCCAGATTTTGGTTGAATATCAGGAAAAACGTCTTAACTGTTAGAGCAGTACAACAGTGGAACCAGTTAGCTCAGAAGTCGATGAGTGCTCCAACACTGGAGGCATTCAAGAAAAACTTAGATAATCACCGGGCAGATATGCTTTGACTGTATTCCTGCATTGAGCAGAGGGTTGGCCTTGGCCTTGTAGGCCCCTTCCCACGTCACTTTTCTATGATTCTCTGCATGAAGAAGATCATTTGTTTACTGTAGTAAAAAAACAATGCAGCTATGGCAAAAAGAGTTGCCAGATAGTTGAAAGAGATTGCGGAGTGTACAATCCCCAGCTCAAAGTATACTGTCACTGAAGTAGTTATTAGAAGAACGCGATCTGGGCAAACCATTCTGTGCAGATTTCACTCTTATGATTTACTCCTTCCACTGTGCTTGTGTGAGAAGGAATATTTGAAGATTCTGGATTTATCTGGGGGAAAAAAGTTAATGCCTTACTTCTCTCCCATAGGTATGGAGCTGAGGCTTTTCTACTGGAAGCTGAAAACTATATGAAAGACAACCCTAGCCTATAGCACAAATGGCAGATTTTCATGTTTACCTCTGTTGTTCCGGGAGAGTTAGAATCAATTTGTGAAGGCAGTATTCCATGCTGTGATTGCAAGCAGAAAGTATTTTAGATAACTTGCTCATAATCTGAGGGCAGACAGATGTACTTTCTTTTTCTGGATCAGCGTTTATAGTGTTAAAACACAATATTTAATGGCTTGTGATCTCATGTCCTAAATATGTATTTGATAAATGTTTTAAAATTGCTTTTACATTTTTAATTGGTATCATTAATAAGTGAACGCAAATTACAGTTATCAAAATTCTCTTTTTACAAGTATCTTTCTCTTGCTAATATACGGATGATCCATGCTGTGATCAAACTCTTAATGAGATTTCAAATGAGAAAATAATTAATACTGGGAAAGTTGACTCATTTACACCTATAAGATCTCCACTCAATTATTAAATGACCTTATTAGATATGGAAGTATATTTGAGAATGAATCTTTAATTAAATTAGGCAAGATAATTGATGTGTTGAGATCATAGCTTGAAATTTTTGAATATTTTGGCAACTTAGATGTAAAAAAAATGCCTTTTTCATCTTTCAATTTAATATTTTAATTGAGGTATAATATTACTTTAGTACAGTAATGCTGTATGAAGAAATCTATTTATGTAATCACTTTTCCAGACTACCTTTGTGAATGTTTTTATCAGTTTGGAACCAGAAGACATTCATTTACTTTCCACTGAAATCAGTGGGATTAATTGACCATGGAAAATTTCCATTGATTTCATTGGAAATATGTTCAACAAGTAACCTGAATACTATCTATAGATTATAATATTTATGTTTCTTTCTAAAATTGTTTTCAAATGACTACTAAATCAATGGAAGAAGTAAGCCTTAGTTATCAGAAATATTTTAATATTTTTATTCTTAAAGTTATATATATTGTAATTACAAAACAAGATGTCTATTGTGTGTCTTATGGAACAAAAAATACGGTATTTTTATTCTTAAAGTAATACATATTGTAATTACAAAACAAGATGTCTATGTTTACTGTGATGGTCATAGATGCTATGTTGCTTACTACAGTGTCAATATCAGTATTTATTCATAGCTTGTTATTTCCACATTTTTAGCCTGTGCTGCGCCGATTTTAGGAGCTTGATCAACAGCAGATAATTACCCCCCCCCAAAAAAATGATTAACATGCATTCTCAAATAGCATGCTTGGAAGTTTTCGTTACCTTAAAATGTTCACTTTTTTCCTGGGATTTTGTGAGGATGCGAGTCACTAGTGTTTTCAGTGCACTAACTTAGTTTTGCTGTCATACCATTGACAGTCTCGATACATAGGTAAAGGCCATGTTTACAGTACCTTACAACTGCTTCCAGATCTCACACTGAAAATAAAATTATTACTTTATTACTATTATGAGCATAGGTCAGCCATGTTAGATATGCAAGACTAAAATACAACAACAAAGCATATATTATTTACGGTTGATACAAAGCAGACTGTAATTCAGATAACTAAGTATTAGTTCCTAATCTGATTACTGCAGTGATTTAGTCATCTGTTTTCTTATTATACAGGCTATTGCACACAGTTTTGCAGCCTTATCTGTAATTGCACTTGAGGAATCAGAGAGGAAAGAAAAGATATACAATTTATTGGAAAAATCAGTAAAAGGCTGTGTGGTCCTTCCAAACAATACAAATGCAGAAGCAGGCAGCACTTTTATAGGTCCACTGAAAAAAAATTAAGTTGATTGCAAGCTTTTGATAGTAACCCATCTTCCTCAGGCCCTGTTCCAAAGTTTTATGGCAAAGTCCTTGCCAAATAGAAACTACTTAGAGTTTCAAAAGAAAGACAGAGGGGAGAGAGGGCCATGCAAATTGCTTGGTGGGTTTTTGAAGAGATGCAAGCTAAAATCCAAAATGCTGCTTGGGGAGAAGTTTCCAACCACTCACCTCATACAAGCTGTTTGCATACTGCTTAACTCATCTTAAGATTTTTTTGCCTGGCATTAACAACTATGCCATGAAATAAATGTTACAAGAAAATAAACATTCATTTTGAACACTTTCTACGAGAGGAGCAGATTTCATTCAAAATCTGTGGGGCTCCTGCTTTGTTTGGCATTCCTATTTAATGGTGGACCACTGAGTTGCAACTGTTTAGATTCGTTCATATTGTGAGAGACAATTAGTGCTGTTCCTATGTGTTAAGAGCTCTGCTTACATCTTGTCCTGCTCTTTGTGGACAGAAGGAGGGAGGAAAAGAAGGAAACAGTGTTGTTTTCTTTAATTTCAGGTATGAACTGATGCAGAGAGGTTTACTTGAACCTAAAGACATTGGATTTGTTCCAGATGCATACACCTGCAATCAGCAGCTGGAGAGGGAAAACAAATATTTAAAAAAGGAAATGGAGAGCTATAAGTTTGCAGCCAAGTAAGTTGTTACTATTATTATTGGGTTCTGTATTTTTCACTTGGGGCTAGATCCTGCCAAATTAGGCACAATGGGAGAGCGAAGATTTGTTTAACTCCCTCAAATGTATTTAGTTATAGGATTTATAGGCAGCTTTAACTGAAAGGAATCCAACCAGCTAATTGAGGTAAGCAGGGGGGGGGGAAGTGCTTTTTTTTGGATATATAACAGTGAGGCCTCAAATGAACAGATTTATTATATTCCCGAATCATGTATGAAAGGCTTCAGGGAATAGCTAGCAGGATAGAAGCTTTGAATTCCCTGTGGTTTATGAAGATATTACATAAAACTCCCCCTCTGTGGAAATTAATGTGTCCAGTTCACAAACAGAAGGGGATCAGATGGGTGTAAGAAAACAGAATGGACTGGGTTTACCACTAGCTATAAGAAAAAACAAAGAGTTTTAGTTGGTGTGCCCTCCCCCCCAATGGAAAGGACAATCCCATAAAAGAGACTGTGGAAGTGGGAAACTTAACTGAGAGGATGAAAGAGTTAAGGCCAACAGAAATGTACAGCTTGGGAAAAGAAAAGCCATTGGGAGGAGAGGGCTTGGCGGAAAGACAAGGGGATAAAGGGGAAGAAGCCGCCCAAGAGAGGGCAGTCAGATATCTAGGAGAAGAGATGCCAACAAGGGAGAGAGAGGAGAAGGAGGAGTGGGTAGAGGTCATTAAGGAACACCCATGGATCAGAGAGTGAGTTCTGTTTAAGCTACCGAACAAGACTGGTACAGAAGCCCCCTTACTGGGGAGAGACAGCTAAGTGAGAGGCAAGAAAGAGGACAAGAAGTAAGAAACTGGGAGTGGGCATGTCTCACCTTGGGAGCAGTCCTGCAAGGAGGGCTTTCCAACCAGCTATGAGCAAAGGTCCCAAAAAGGAAAGTATGGGAAGAGAATATAAGTTTCATTTACCACAATCGCTGAGTACCAAAAGAGATAAGGCAGGCATGCCTAACCCTTTTTCCTCCAGTATGTTGTTGGCTGGGACAGAACTGTTTAATCTGTTGTTATGGGACCTTCCTGTGTCCAAAGATAGAGAGCTGAAAGTGGCTGCAGAAAAGGTAGATGAAAGGACTGTTACTGTTGAGTTAAATCCATTTGTAACCTTGTTGAAAAAAAACCCTTTTGGAATTGATGAAGAGACTCCGGCTGTTGATTCAGGAGCTAAACGTAAGTTTTGGGAAGGAACAGGGAGCAGAAAACCTTGCAGCAGTACAGAGCATAATTCTGGATTCAAGTGGATTGATGGCCAAGAACAAAGTCAGTCTGAATAACATTTCACTTTAGGTTTTTAAAGGCTTGTATAACTTTTCAGTCAAATAATTCTCTACCAACTAAATAAATAAATAAATGTTTTCTTGGGTTGGAAATGTTGAATAACATGCATCATACAAATGCAAAGGAAATATTAGCTAATTCTTTTCTTAGCACAAGAATCAAGAAAACAGACAGACAATTTAATCCCTGCTGTGATTGATCATGTGAACAATACTGAAGAGAAATACTGCTATGTGAGAGTGAAGTATTACTGTTTGAAAATATGATTGTGAAAACAATGATGGGGATATATTTATGACATTTTAACAAGATGTTTTATATTTATACAGTGGTGCCCCGCTAGACGCTTATCCCGTTAAACGACGAGATCGCTTGACGATGTTTCCTATGGGATTTTTTCGTTTAACAATGATTAGGTCCCTGCTTTGCGAACCGATTGTTCGCAAGATAACTATTTAAAACAGCTGATCAGTGGTTCGCAAAATAGCTCCCCACTGTTTTCCGGACCTATTTCCACAAGACAGGGATCGCAAAATGGCCACCCTATGGAGGGTCTTCGTTGCACGAGCAGGTATTTTCCCCATTGGAACGCATTAACCGGTTTTCAATGCATTCCAGTGGAGTTTTTATTTTCGCATGACGACTATTTCGCTGTACAGCGATTTTAATGGAATGCATTATCGTCGTCATGCAGGGCGCCACTGTGTACTCAAAAGATGACAAGGGACAAATGAAACACATAGCTGATAATTAGAAGAATTAACTTGCAACGGTTAGTTTTTTTAAAAGTTTTTTTAATTCTGCAGATTTTAACAATTAAAATGTTAATATTAGAATGATATGTTGGATTTATAGAAACAGAATGATTTGGTAGAATTATTGAACTGCTTTTGAGAGTGCATGTAGTAGTAAAGTATACATTCTCCTTTTATATGAGAGGGAGAAATCTGCCATGCTGGAGAAAGTCAGAGTTAAGCTCTTTCTTAGAGATGCTTTTGTCCTTGGAAATTGTTGCCTCTACTCTTTTCTTCATTCCTGAAAGAAAATCACCTTGTCAGGTCTCCCAACCATCCTCATTTATGGGAAACAAATCAGCTTTTGCCAATAAATTGTCCTGACTCTCAAAGTCATAATACTTAGCAGTGGGGATTACCTTTCTGTGTAGATCGTCAGTTTTTCTTGTTAGGAATAATAATCTCTGAAAGGGATACCATTTCCCTTAATGTCATGTATATATGTGGAAAACAAAAAAAATTACAATCGGTTTCATTTCCCATAGTTCATTGTAAAGTGTGAAGATCAGGATTTCTGGGTTTCTCTTCAGAAATCAGTCAGATGCTGTCTGATTCAGTCTAGAGAGAATCAGACCGAAGGTTCGATTGCACCTGGCAAAAGAACCCCAGTTGTACTGATATACAGTGGTGCCTCACATAGCGAGGTTAATCCGTTCCGGATTAACCCTCGCTATGTGAAAACATCACTGTACGGAATGGGGAAGCCCAAATGGGCATTCCAAATGGGCAAAAAACTCACAGTTCAGCGATGTTTCCAGGGTCCGGCAGCCATTTTCACGCCCTCGGTAAGCGAGGGCAGGGCGCAAAAACGCTGCACGTGGCCATTTTGGGGCTTCCAGCGGCCATTTTGGAGCTGCTGAACAGCTGATCCGCGGGCATCGCTTTGCAAAGATGGGTAAGCGAAACGCTTACCGATCATCGCAAAGCGAATTTTGCCCATAGCGGCCATCGGTATGCAATATGTTTCATCCACAAGCGAGAGTTTTGATTGGCAGATCTCTGTATTTTGTTAGTTTTTCCAATTTTTTTATTTTCAACTCTGGCATCTCCTGGAATTACAAGGTCAATGATCCAGACATTTCTTTGTTCTATTACTTCTGTGTCTGGTGTATTATGATCAAGGTATCCATTAGTTTGGATCCAGAAATCCCACAAGACCTTTACTTCCTCATTTTCTGACACCTTCTCAGTTATAATTGTTGTTACAGTGGGGTCTTGACTTGAAAACTTAATCCGTATTGGAAGGTGGTTCTCAAGTCAAAAAGTCTGTAGGTCAAGTCTCCATTGACCTACAGTGCATTGAAAACCGATTAATCCCATAATAGGCCGTTTTTGTTCCATTTTGGTTTTTTCCTGGTCTGTAAGTCAATTCTCAGGCTGCAAGTCAAACCTAAATTTTGCGGCCAGAGAAGTCTGTAACTCAAAAAGTCTGTAAGTCAAGCCGTCTGTAAGTCAAGGGTCCACTGTATTTCATGCCATCAAATCAGTTCTGAGTTATTGTGGCCATTTTCAGGGAAAGTAAGTAAAACAAGTTTATGTGTGTATGGCTGTAGCCATTACAAAAGAAGTTTCAATAGGATAAAATATCAAATATAGTATACAAATATAACCATCTAAAAAGAACATTATCATGTGAAACAGTTCAATCCTCAGTTAAATCATGATCATTATAACTACAGAACTTCCTTCTTAAAACCATTGCTCTAAAAGCAAAGCTGGCTGCCTTTTCAGAAATGTATGGCACCTTATCCCCCAATAAAAAAAAATTATCAAATATGCACTAGATCTATCAAATGTGATACTTAACTCTTGGAACAAAGCATCTTTTCCATTTCATTAAATTATGACATAGTATTGGTACTTTTGAAAAGAAATTTTAAAGTATTAAACAAAGTTAGCTTCAATAGAAAAGCTAAAGAATTTTATAAAAAGTATTTCTTGGTGGATATTTCTGCAATGGTTGCCTTTAGGCATGTTCTGCAGTTTACAGATGTTAACAGGTCTAAAGAAAATTAGGCGTTAATAGGCTTTTCTGAAAGATGTTTATAAAGCATGTCTTCCTTTGAGATGAGATTGTTCAAATGGAAGTTGTTCCTTTTTTATGATTGGAATGCTTTTCTCCCCATATGTAGACTATATATTCTTTTAAAATAGGAGAATGTAAGGATATACCGTAATAGACGTGCATAATGGACAAGAAGACTCCAGAATATAATTTGTTGCCCAGCACGTTTTGAGTATATAGCTTACCCAGGACCAATGCTGACTGAGGTCTTTTAAAAGATCATAGAATCATAGAAAAGCGAAGTTGGAAGGGGCCTACAAGGCCATCAAATCCAACCCCCTGCTCAAGGCGGGAATACAATCAAAGCATAAGATAAGGAGGTAGTATATACTATATCATCTAAACAACAACAACAACATTGCAATGAGTACTTTGGAACAGTATAGAAGAAAATTTTAAGTTTTTTGTTGAAATGAATAAATATCATCAGAGTTGTCCTGCGGCTTCTAAGTGGGTTGGACAACAAATATTTGCCTATGTATTGTTTCAGTTTCCTTTCTGTTCTTATTAATCTTATTAATGTTTTAAATAAACCCCAAACCACAGCTAGGCTGTATTTTTATTAGGACCACCAACCACTGGAGCTAAGCTCTTTCTGCCACTGGTACCCTTTCAATTTGGTATTTTAGCCCTTCTCAGTCTTGGTGAAGGGACATGGCTTTAGGAGCAGGTGACTGTGGGATGTTCATGTCTATGATGATGATGATGAACCAGATCAATCTTATTAATGTTTCTTGTGAGTGTGGAGGAAAAAAGAGGAGAAGACCAAGAAGGAATCACTGGCTTTGTTGCATCAATGTTAAAGGAAGAGAGAGTTTCTTGTGCAAAGACTTGAGTGCCATCTATCTTACTGCTTGTTCTTTCAGACTAAATTGTGGTGGTTGACTCACAAATGCAAGGCCTTCCTCCTAAGTGAAGGGATTGGAGAGAACCCTTCTCTCTTGTGTTATTTTGGGGTTCACCTAGAGGCATTCCTTTCACCAAGTGAAGCAGAAATGTATTAGGAAAGTCATAATTACCTTTCTCCTTTCAAACAGCAAAGCTAAAGAGCTACTGTTAAAAGTGCAGAAAGAGCGTGACTTCCATCGAATGCATCATAAACGAGTGGTCCAGGAAAAGAACAGGCTCATTAATGATATTAAAAGGTAAGCAATTAAAAATAGGCACCTAAATCTAACTGGTGTTCTGAAAAAAGACCTGCCATCATGTGAAACTTTTGTTTCCTTTCTAGTTTGGTTTCTTTTGCCTCAAAGGTGTGTGTGTGTGTGTGTGTGTGCATGCGTGCGTGCGTGCGTGTGTGCGTGCGTGCGTGCGTGCGTCCGTGCGCCTCTCTGTTCATTTACCATAACAGGGACACCTCTTTTGGGTCATG